AAAAAAAMCCCTCATTTTAAGCATATTATTCTTAAATTACAAGAAATACACACCTGATAGAGGGCAAATAAAAACATTAAGAGCTGCAGAAGATATTTTGCTTTTAAATAATAAGCTAAACAAACTCATTTGAAGAACTTGATTACAGCTGTTTCTTCAAAAAAAAAAAATACTACCAACTTCACCTTTACTAGAAAATGACTGCAGTATGGAACAACAGAACAACTTACCTCTAAGCATGCCCAAAGGTTGGGTCCTCTGACTTTACAGTCCTGACAAGTGCCCTATTAAACAGAAAGCAAGTATTGTTTCACTTATTTTCACCATTAAGCCACAATTCCAAGACAAAAGGAGGAAATATACTGTAAAGCTTAATATCAGATGAGTAATTTCGAGACAAAAGAGGGATATACTGGCAACCAGCCAATTTTTTTTGCTACACATAATCTCAAGATCAGCACATTTTTCCACTAAAATCTTGGATTTCTTGGTTGAGTTTTCCTTTAAACTAAAAACTGCTTTTCTAAGTAAGGCATAAATATGTATCATATCACATAATTCAAATAATCTTCAAAATTGGTCTTCCCTATAAATATAACATAAAAAGAAATTAAAGTGATTGAACCTATAGTATTCCTTCTAGCAGACACTACCTGGAAAGGTCTACCCAAAAAAAAGATGAAATACAAATAAAATGCTGTGTTCCTCAGCAGCAAATTAACTGTTACAGAAATTTAGCACCATGCACAGAAAAGGTTTCATTTTTCATCACCTCCCAGGTACTAAAATGAGTTACAAGATCCTTCTTTGTTCCATTTATTAATTCTAGTTTGAAACCAAGAATTCAAGGTAGGACCAAACTGTGGCTTCTCTATTAAAGAGGGAACTGTTACTCAAGTAAACTCAAGCAGAAATATTTTTGTTAGTTCCTACTTCAAGTCAAGTAGTTGGACTATATTACATTAACATTCCAAATTACTACATGTTAAAATGACAATGAAAATAAAGTTCAGCTTGGTGCTAAGCCAACTCTTTTAACTAATAATTCCATTGAAACATCAAAGATGCTCTTCAAGTACAGAAAAATAGTTCTTCAGCTTCATCAAGTCCATAATTCTTCTCATACTTTATTTAAACCTTACTGTTCCAGTAGAGGAGCTTTTACCCATGCTTGACACTTAAATGCATCTTATAACTAATAATACACTAAAATGTATATCTAAAAAGACCTGACCAGTTAATGGCGATAGGAGGAAAGTGAATTGTTACAACTCACATGAGATTTCTGTATCAATTCCTCCTTTGTTATCTCACCAACTGATTCCAAGTGTGGGCAAGGGCTGCCGGGTGATGACATTGCTGAAGCTGTATTTTCTGAGATACTGTAGCTAGAATTTAACACCAGGGAATCACCTGTCAACAGAAATAAGAATGAATAAAATCCAACTCTTTAGAACAGACAGCAATATTAGATATCTAATATACAACCTATAAATAACTTTTAAAACAATGTGCTGTTTTAGGCTAAGTTAGTATAAATAACCTTCTTAAGAGACTCCAATAGCCCAAAGTAAGCCTGCTGACTTCTGAAATGAAATCCACTGACTTCTAGGTCATAAACTAAAAGAATCCTGAATGAAGCAGGCTGATTTGGGTTAATTATTTAACTTCCCAGACTCTGCCATGGCACCCAAATGACATAAACAGTAGTTTCCAAGTCTGCCTAGAACTGATGGTGGTTTTGAGTGTATATTCTGGAAACGGATCTTTGCAACACTGCTGAAGGGTGCTGAAACTGTGAAGGCTAAACTGCAGGAACATAAGACTTGTTTATCAAAGGATAAGGAAACTTTATCTTGGTTTTATTTATTTACAAAGACACATTCTAGAGTCAGACATATTATATATCAAAAGGAAACTGAAACTTGTGACTCAGACATAGCACTAAACACCCAGCTTTTATCTTGTTCTCTTTGCCCATCCAAGGTCTCTGGTGCAGACACAGAAATTTATCAGAAATAAAGAATGCTAAATACAATCACTTTGCCATTATTAATTCGATAGTTGCATAGAAAGCAACAGAAAGAAAAAAACTGTAACATTCTTTTTATATAAATACTCCAACTGACTCATTCAGATAGGGACCATCCAATAACTTCATTCCAGTCAAGAGCCATTTCAGCTTCTGTTGGTCATTTTTCTATATAGGTGTGTGTATGTGTATAAACAGTCTGTTTTATTACTACACTGCTACACAAACAATATTATTAAAGTACTGCATATCATTTGTATTAAAATAATATATGATACTTTGTGCCATATATTATATGCACATATGTATATACCTGCATATAAACACTTTAACAAGTTTTCTTTAACTATAAGCAATTATTTACATATAGTATATTATATATGTAATTGTATACATAGACTCAAGTATGACCACATAGGTTTCAATCTCTTTTTAATATCATGTTAACAGATGTTCAATAAAATATTTCTAGTTTCGTGAGAACTTCTCACAAGACTAGAAATACTACAGTAAATGAATCATTTAGGATTTCTTTTCTATATGAGATCTAAATTCTTTTCCTGGACCAGTGGCATGACATTTAAAATGCATTATTCTAAAACATAAGCTCCAGCTGGAAAAGTACCTCCTCAGTTCAGTGACTGTCTGTAATCTATATGCACTGTTACTGAAAGACACTTCAAATAAGGCAACAGTTTGTCAAGCCAAACCTCCTCAACTTCCATCATATTTGCAATTCCTCTTTGAACTGTAAGGTTCCCTTTCAGAACAGAAATGGCAACATGAATGTATGTTACATCTTCCATGGTTTGCAAGATCTGTTGAAATGTTATACAAGGACAAGTAAGTTTCAAATAAAGCACTGAGAACATTAAATGCAGTGAGATGATTTAATACAAATGTTTTAGAAAGACTGATATAATAGATTAGTAAAGCTTTAGGCTTAGGGTTTTCTTTATGGAAGATGCTTTCTGAACGCATTATTCCAAGTAATACAAAGCAATGAATGGAGACATCACCTCATGCTGTTAGATTTGCATTAAATGTATTTAACTTTTCATACATGGAACTGCACAAATCCAAACCTGCAGTCCTGAACAAACTCAGGAGTTCTGCTCATGCCAGTTTCTGTTTCTTGGTGCAGTCTGCACCTTTCTTCTTCTAAGAATCATCAGAAAGGCCAAAGCTGTTCAAAACCTAGATCCCTGTGGATATGGTCCCTACTCCTGTCCATATGGAGAGTATCCCTTGTGGAAATGTAGTTTACATTACAGATTCTTCACATGTCATTATATGAGCAAAGCTGAACGGCCTTTCTTTCACCTTTTGGTAATAAAATTTTTACACAGCTCCTTCCATCTTGCAGCACTGTGATATCTCATTGTACTGCCATAACCTTGGTAACTTAATATACACAGCTGCAGAAACACATTTTGTAAAATTTTATTTTAAAGTCTAAAACTGTAAGATTAATTTAAAACTATGATTCATCCTTCATCAAAGTCCTAGCAAGCCCAGGGTAGCCTCTCCCTCACTCACTGACCTTCCTCCATTTCATCACTTCCTACTCTATCTGAAGAGATTGCTTTTCTTCCCCTGCAGCTCATTATCACATCAGCTTTTACACCAGCTTCTGCATTGCCTCAACCTCATCCAAAAACTGGTTTTCTGCATTTTCAGTAATTTTAAAAAACCTCTGAACAATCCAACAAACCTACTTTTGTAGTTCTCTCACATTCCATTTTGTACTCCTATTCCGAAGTTGGAATGTATCTCCGTTTCATGATCGCAGTGATATTACAGAATGGGATGGGTTGGAAGAAATCTTAGAAATCATCTGGTTCCAAATCCCCTGCCTCAGGCAGAGATACCACTCACTAGATCAGGTTGCTCCAGCTTGGCCTTGGACATTCCTGGGGATAGAGCATCCACAACTTCTCTGGGCAGTCTGCTGCAGTGCCTCAACACCCTCACAGTAAAGTATTTCTTCCTAATATCTAATCTAATCCTGCCTTCTGTGTTCTAAGCCGTWYTCTTATCACTACAAGMCCTTGTGAAAAGTCCTGCTCCAATTCTTACAGCCCCTTTAAGCACTGGAGGTTGTGTAAGGTCTCCCTGGAGCCTTCATTACTCCAGGCTGAACAGCCCCAACTCTCAGCCTGTTTCCACACTGTTTGTGATCACACTCATGCAATAAGCTTCTCATCAAATGCTTCCCATATATGTGACAGAGAACCCTGCAGTCCATTGCCAGCCCTCTCCACTGTCGCCCCAGAGAGGTTTCAGTTCACCTGTCTCAATGCTTCATACTACACCACCCAATAAAGTGAATCAGTTAACTTTCCAAAGCAGGACTTCTGAACACGTTTTTGCTTAGAGAACACACAGAGCCATACTTCAAAGAAAAATTCTACTTAAGCCCTGTCTTGAGGGTTTTTTTTGTGTTCCTGACTAGTGTTTCCATTCACCAAGAAAAAAAATTTGAGCCATCAGAGAAATGTGAACCATAATTCAAAGCATCATGACCAGGAACCTATTCATTATTCAGTAGAATTCCACAGCATCACAGACTTATTTGGTGCTCATCACGGAAGCCCTATCACACCCACAGAAAAATCTCATCCATCACTAAGAGAATTCAAATGATCCTGATAATTATCTTTGGTTCATGTAAGGAGCCCAATACTTCCTAAAGAAACAAAACAGATTTTAAATTCTTTCAAAAATTTTTGAATTAATGATTTCATCTGCCTAGTTACAGTAGGTAACACTTCAACAGATACTGAAATAAACAATTATATCTGTTATGTATTCTACTGGTGTTCTAAACATGGAGCCGTTTTACAGAATTCTGTAAGGGAATGCTGATAGAGTTTAAGAATAAAAGGATTATTCTGAAGACATCAATTACATGAAGCAGCAATTGTGTCTTCATTACAAGCGTTTATTATTTTGTCAGTACAGCTCTGAATAACAGCATCTCAAACCAGTAATCTSTAAGTTCAGGCTTCTTAGTTGCATTCACAGTTATTTYACCAGTGATGCACTGGAACAATTTMATTCAACATTTATTTTCATTTTATGGCAACAAAGCAGAAGTGACCCAAGGTGCAACTTTGCACCTGAACACGATTACTTAGAATGCTAAAGAGGTCTAGAAGTTCAGTAATTACTTGCCATATTCTTCACACTTTAGAAAAAAACCCACCAGCATTCACTATAAGCCACAAAAGCCCACTGAACCTCTAGCCTTAGGCATATTCAGATTTGTAAGATACATATTTATCACTTCTCTAAAAATCTCTATTTTTTTTAAATAAAGTTTACAGAAATTACTTCAGTATAATTTTATATATGAATGACGTTTTTACCAAAGTTGAACCTATTCTTTTTAGTGGGTGAAATTAAAGTTCATCTTTCCTATTTTTTTGACCTAAGTTCATTTATATTCTGTAACTCAATAGATAGTTTTGAATTTCACCTCCCGTCCCTCCATATTTTTACTTTTTTTAATGTATCAACAATAAACAAGCACATCTCATTTTCTTGACACAGTAACATTACCAATCCCTGCTCTGGCAGAGAATTTACTTTATTTGTTTAGCATAAAACCTGGTATTTTCCCCCTAAATGATAAAAGTGTGCTCAGTAAGCTGGTGAAAGACACCTGGTATTTCTCTTCAGGCACCAAGAGCTACCCACTCAAGAAAACACAATTTGATAAGCCACTTCCATTACATTTTTTTTCTGCCTTTAAATATTGTTCCCAAAGAGAAAGGCCATTTAAAAAAAATGCTTGAGTTGAGGGTATATCCTCTTACAGGGTTAAGACAGTTTTTATTTTATATTGGCTTTCAGGGCACCCAGGCCACTCTTTCGTTTCTTTCTTTCACCACGCTAAATCCTAACTATGAAACCCATTAGCTGACCTCTATATTTCTAAGAGGATTTTCCTAACTCGGGCTTTGCCTAAGCGCAGGAGAAGCCTACAGTGATTTTCCACTAGGTGATACCCCGGACTTTTCCCCCCGGCTGTTCCACCCCTCATTCCCGATCATCCATGCGCATGGATAACTCAGGGAGCGAACAGGGGTCATTTATGGGTAAATTACTGTTTTCAGGGATTGCGCGCTATCCCACGGTACCGCTGCCGCACAGCTGCAAGTTGAGCAGAGCCCTGCGGAGCTCTGTGGCCGCTTCCAGCGGGCGAGCGGCCGGTCCCGCCCCACACGGCCCCGCTGCGCCGGACCGGGCACCGCCGACCTCCGGCCCCCGCCCAGCCCTGCGGGACCGCGGCGCCCCGACCGCCGGGAAGGCTCCCGGAGCTACCGCCACACCAACACCAACACACACCCTGGGCTGTGAGAGCGGCCGGGCACACGGCCCGCAGCGCTCCCGTCCCCCACCACACCGAACCCTCCGCCGCTGCCCAAGCGGGCCCTTCCCCTCTTACCGGAGAGCCGGGAGGATGCGCCGCACACGGATCACGGAGCTCAGCCGGGCCGCGATCAGCCCCGCCCTCGGCCCGAGGGCTCGCCTTTGCCTGCGGGGACAGCGGTGATGCAGCGAGTCTGCCGTGACGGAGCCGGGCGCGCCCGGGCCGCGGCTCTACCGGTGCCGCTCCGCACACGCGCGGACGGGCGGGCGCGGCTGCCGAGACACCGCCGCGGGACGCGCCCCGCTTAAAGATGGCGGCGCCGGGCGTCACCGCCGCTCACGTGATCGCTGCCCCGCTCAAAAATGGCGGCGCCCCGCCCCCGCCCGGCCGCCCGCAGCGGGAGCTGCCCACAGCAAAGATGGCGGGCGCGGACTCCTGACGCCGCGGGTCTCCCTCACGTGGCAGCGGCTCCTCCCGACCGACGGCGGCCGCTTTCCCTGTGCCGGAAGCGGATTACGCTGGTCTGAGGGCAGCGCCGGGGCGGGAGCGGAGAGAGCTGCCCCCGGCTCTGGTGCCCGGCAGGTAACTGAGCACGGCAGCGGCGGCACCCGCTCGGACTCGGGGAGAGGCGCCCCCGCTTTGGCCCGGGCGGCTGCGGGGAGGGGCGCACCGGGCATCCCGGCTCTGTCCGCTGCCCGCCCGCGATGCCGGGGCTGCCCGGGCTGGGGAGGGCTCGGCAGGGCCGGCCCGAGGTGGTTTCTGCCCCACCATCGCCTCCCGCCGTGCCGCGGTTGCGGTCCCGGAGTCGTGGTTCGGAGGCTTCGCCTTGTGTTCAGCCTCGGGGAGTGAGAGGGGTGCGCCTGGATCGGGGAGATTACGTCAGGCTATAGTGGTTATTTCTCGAGTGTGTCTGCAAAATAATCGAAGCGCTGAATGAGAGAAACTTTTTCTGGCTGCTCTCAAATCTTTTAACGCTTTCAGCTGGCAGATCTATTCTTGCAGCAGTCGTGGTTTCAGAGGCAGGGTTGCTGTCGTGCGTGATTTAGAGGATATAGTAAATGAACKGCCGGCTAMTCAAAGCAGACYGAGCCCTCTAGCCCTGCTGTACATCTGCAAAGCACAGCTGGGCAAATGGGGCCTAAGCTGAACCAGCAAATTTGCTGGCTCCACATTAAGTCTTGCCTCTACTCAAAAACATCGATCAAACAAGTTATGTGCTTGTGATGGAAGAGATTCGAGCTTGTAGAAGAAAATCGTCCTGGGCTTCTGTTGCATAACTTTGTATGTATCCTTCATTTGACAGAGCATTACAGAGCCCGTCTGTGATTGTTTTCAAGATAGTTTTGCTTAATGAGGTATGGGAGAGAAGAAGCCATGTCAGAAGAAGCTGTTGCTGAGACACGATTTTCTCTGAAGACAGTAGCATTACGGGTGTTTCATCTTCCCCTTTCTTGGTATTATTCTCTTAACCAGGTAATAAATACAATATCTAAATATTCTTGCTTTTGTTGTACGCTTAGAAGTTTATTACAGTGTGGTATGTTCTCTTGAGAGCTTAGTGTGAATTAAATTTGTACAAAATACCTTGGTGTTTAGTTTGTTTACAACATGGAACTAAAATAAACATGTCTTTTAGTCTTTTTCTGCTAAATAATGCTTAGTTTCATACATATGTTTTACATGCAGTGTCTATATATTTCCATTTTGTAACAGTGCAATGGTTCTCAAAATATAAAAACTCTCCAGTTCACTTTTTTTGGTAGAATATTTTTGTATTTAAAAGCTAAACATAAAGCTGCCATTAAGTTTTGAATAATACTATTAAGTTCTGCTTTTTAAACCCAGGTCTTTAACATGATTGTATTTTATTTTTCATTGAATTAGACACTTAAAAGCAAACACTATGTAATATTTTACATGTCCCTGTAAGCACTTTTCTTTTACTGCATATAAAACCAGAATGAGATATTCTATCTTAGCTGCATCTGCTCATTTTCACTTTTTTTTCTATGTTTAAGTACTTCAAAACTCTTAACTGCAAGATCACTGATTTCTTTTTTATGTTGCAGCATATTGATATCCTTTTTAAATACCATGTGTAACTCCATTACATGCAACTATTAACTTTCCCCTTTTTAKAGGTTTTCATTTCACTCTTAATGAATTTATGATCATGTTTGTAGGCCCATTTTAAAAAATCCATTCGCGATTCTTTGAAACGTTCATTTTAGCATTTAATTTTGTGATCTTAGAGGTGTTAATCGCCGTTGTTTGGTTGTTAGTCCTTTTCTGTGAAATGCAGTAGTCTTTTGTACGTATGTGTTGGTGCTGTGTTTCGGGCATTTCCTACAGTGCTAATTGTAGATTTCACTCAAGGTATGGTACCAGGAAGGGCAGGGTTCTCMAGTCAGAGGTGCCTGACTTGTTGATTGCAGATTCAGTGCAGAGAGAAGCTTTCAATGCTTCTTCAAATTGCACGGTGCTGATGGTATTAACCAACTGAACMGCAGCCAGGAGTGCCAGTGGTGCTCTGTGCGCTCTCTCTGGTATGAGGAATCATGTTACAGAAACACCATATGAGGCCCAAGGACTGTGCATCTGGTTTTCTCCCAGCAGGCTGTTCCTTAAGCAGCATAAGTTTCCAAAGATTTTGTGAATGTGAGCTGTAGTTTCCGGTTAAATGGCACTTTTTTCCTTTCTATGTCTTGTTACTTTGTATATTACAAACCTTGTTCATGGCTTTTGATACAAGTTGCTTGTATATGTGGTTCTTACTAATTGAAACTCTGTAAACCCATGACTGATCTATATCCAAAAGAAAATTTAACTTTTGTTTTTTTAACTGTTTATTTGGAGAAATGTATTTAAATACACRTTTTCCTCAAATTGAAAAACCACAGAAATGCTGGCATTTGGATCTTCCATTCTTTCATAGTGYARGAAATAGTGTASTTGTGAAAGGCGAGTTCCTTCKCAGTAATTTTTTGGTGTTAGAGATTTAATTGAAGCCCTGCATTGTCCTGGCATTAAGAAGAAATTACAAAAACCCAAGTCTTTGTTTGAAAGTAATTTGCTTAGATCCCCATAGTCTGTGGATTTGCAATATACCTTATAGTTCTTGGTGCTGCAGTCTGTCTCTCAGTATATGTATTTCCARTTAAGTTACACTTTTATTTTCAGATAAAGCTTTCCCCGGGGTTAAAGAAGCTTTTTACAGTGACAGCAGTGAGTGCAATATCTGTGATTTTTCTGGCCCGTCACTTTAAAAGAAGACGTGGAAAGAAAAACAAGAAAGTGCCACCATGGGAGCCAACTCATCTTGTATTAGAGTGTACCAAAGCATCTGCTTCAGAGAAAGGTACATCATGGAACCCCCACGCTGGGTTTTTTTTTGTTCTTTTCTTGGAGAAGTAAAGGGGTATGAGGGGATGGGTGTTCATGGTGGTGGTAGTAAACTAAACTATTTTCCTTTGATCATGGATAGTTTGTGTTAGAAGGGACCTTTCAAGTTCAATCAGTCCAACCCCTGCATTCAGCAGAGCTATCTTCAGGTTGATCATAGCCCCATCCAACCTGGCCTTCAATGTTTCCAGGGATGGGGCATCTATGACTTTTCTGGGCAATCCATTCYAGTATTTTACCACCTTCATTGTTAAAACCTTCCTTGTTATCTAATGTAAATCAACCCTTTTTAGTGTTACAGCCATTACCCCTTGCCCTATTGCAGCAGGTCCTGCTGAAAAGTCTGTTCCCTTCTCYCTCATAGGCCCYCTTCAAGTTCTGAAAGGCTGTAGTAAGGTCTCCTTGGAGCCTTCTCCAGCTGAACAACCCCARCTCAGCCTTTCCTCATAGGAGAGGTGCTCCATCCTTCCAATTGCCTCTATAGCATAGAACACCTGAGCGGGCTTGAATTGCTAGACTTTAAATTTGGAATTTGTCGAATTGGAAACAAAATTACAGTATCTTGTAAAGAAGCTGGGCTTCTTCTCAAAAGTGAATTTTTAATCAGGGGCTTGGATTAAAACTCTCTTCATCAATAGTGTATTAACTAKGGGTTTTGCCATTCTTGTGGATGTGTCTCAATACTGAGAAATGCAGATGYAATTTTTTATAGAATAGGACAATAATTATGCATAGTTAATGTTATAGATAGTCTATACACAAAGACTTCTAATGTGTAGTTTCCCATGTATCACTGAAAACTAAAACAATAATTGTTCCAAATTGGAAGTAAATGCAATCYTTGATAGAATTGCAAAAGATGCAATATTTTGAGTTTGCAAGAGCTTTAAAATAAGTATCTCTTAGGTTCTAGTTGTTCCAGTAGTCGACAAAACTTGACTCTTTCTCTGAGCTCTGCCAAGGAGAARGGATCTCAATCCTGTATCTATGCAAATGGAGGACTTTTCAGCAAATACTCCGGTTCAGTTCAAAGCCTGACCTCGGTAAGTAAAAATGTTTTAAGGCTCTTGAATGGCTATTAACTTGCATTGAATATTCATCTGAAGGCTTCACTGAGCTAAAGGAACTTTCCTGAGCTAACTGCACAGGCAGCTAGAGATGCTGAGAAGCCATTGTTCTTACCAAAGAGTAAAACCAGTTTCTAGGCAGATGTCTTGGATGTAATGTACTCTGGCACGAATGTGGTTTTGAAGGATACTCCCTACAACAACACTTTCTTGTTTTCTAAGGTTCAGAGTGCCACCTCTTGTCACAGTTGTGCTTGTGCCAATTCTAATTCCTGGGATAAAGCAGATGAAGATGACATTAAGCTTGTCAATATCCCAGTCACAACACCTGAAAATTTATATTTGATGGGTAAGTCATAATAAGAATATTCAGCATCTACCTACAATGAATATAAATAATTTCATGGATTTATGGTTAAATGACACACAATGTTATTGTGTTCGTTCTCAGCATCCTGTTTGGAACGGTTGAATAATAACATCCTGAGAACAGTTCCATAAAATAATGAAATCATACTTGATCTAAAGTTAATTTTCCAGAATACTTTGTATTCCACTATCTGTCGTATTAATCCTTAAAATCAAGCCCTGACACRTGGGGAAAATGATCACTTTTCTTTACACAAAAAAAAGGTAAATATATACAGGGAATACACTGCTATAGGCTGGAAATTGATATTTCMACTTAGATCTCTGTGATAGTTATGCTTATTTTAGCTACATATTTTCTCATGTCTCTAAAATGTGAATGAAGCTGGAGCTGTGTCATGGAACTGGGGGTGTTCCTGCTCTCCCCTAGGTATGGAGCTGTTTGAAGAAGCACTGCGGCGCTGGGAGCAGGCACTAACTTTTCGTAACAGGCAAGTTGAAGATGAAGCAATCTGTGGTTCCATTAAGCTGGGAGCAGGGGATGCAATTGCAGAAGAAAGTGTAGAAGTGAGTATACTCAGTCTGTGATCTATTGATGCTGCCCTGATAATTCGTTCTGTTTTGTTGGCTGAATCTTTTCAAATTCAATTACCAAATTTGACAATTGGTTCAATTTCCAATTGAGTGGTGTTGCATTTAAAAGGGATCTGAGATCATTCCTTCTGATTTTTTTTGGTTAGTTGTTTGGAGGAGGGYATGGGGAGGGAATTAACATTATTTATCTTTTGGCAATTGCTGATGCATCAGTGTTTGCTTCTGGACAGTGTTATCGAGCTATCAAGCAGACAACTTCACTGCACACAATCCCTTGGGTCCTCTCTTTCTTTTATGATTATGTGCAAGGCTATCTGCTTGGCAAAGATAAAAGTGTCGGGGAAAAATGAACAATTTATGCATATTCACAGATAATGCACTTGAACTTTATTTTTCTCCMTTCTTATGAACTAAATKCTAAAAATATTKTGAAATAAACATTTCATTTCATTATTTCTAGTGCAGCAAACATCACATATAATTTAAAACTGTTTTAAAATTTAGATTTTATTTTTATTACGCTAAATAAAATACATATGTGTCCAGAAAAGTGTGTATATTTTGGATGTCGAAGTTTTCATCTGACAGTGTCCTTGTGTGGTCTGTAAGAAATTAATGTGCCACAGTTTGTTCTATGAAGCCTTAATATCCTTAGATTTTACAAAGGAAGCTTACAGACTTAAGCAAATAGAAAATCTTCTAATGTCTGTCTTCTTACAGGATATCATTAGTGCTGAATTCATTCATAAGCTTGAATCTCTTCTTCAAAGAGCTTATCGTCTTCAGGAGGAGTTTGAAGCCACCCTTGGGGTCTCTGATCCTGCTGCTCTAGCTAATGATATTGGTGAGTACTGCTATTTTACATCTTTTTTGCTTGTAATGATGGCTCTTGGGGGGAGGACTGAAATATCTACTGAGCAGAATTATATTTATCAGTAAATCAATAACCAAAAAAATCACTTTCTCTGCATTATTRTGTTGTGTTTGATGAAGGGCTTCTATTTCAGATAACAATGGATTGAAAGGAAGTTTTTCTTTGTAGCTTGCCAGTATTCAGATATTTTTRCAGTAAGAATATATGACCCTTCTTATAGCATTGGTGTTCAGAGGGTTATGCATCTTCTGAACTATGAAACTGTGCAAGGTTTGTCATAATTTTTCTATTAAAAAGGAAAATTAAACTAGAAAGACTTAATCTGAAGCTGATAGCCATTAGCAAAGGTCTTATCTCGGTGATTGAACTTTATCACAGTTAAGGGTGACTAAGCTGTTAAAAAGGCAAATATAATGAGTAGTTGCTGCCTGACAATGCTGATTAGGTCCAGATAATTCGATTATTTTTATTTAAAGAATCGGATCTTAAAAAGGGATACTGTTGTACCCTTTCATAATTCAAGATAAAGCATCTGATCTGAAATAACAGTCAGAGTTTAAAGTCAGAGCACGTTCTGGGATTGGTCTGTCRGTAGCTGTTTGCTGGGCTCCAGCTTGCCTGGCACGAGGTGGCAGTGCTGTCCTCTCTTGGCCCTCCTTACCCTGCATCCCCTGAGCACAGCTCTGATCAAGGAGGGAATTAGATTTAGGTCAGAGCTGTCTTTCTGACATATCTGCATATACCTGGAAATGTAATCCTTGAAAAAAAAATTTGAATGTTCTGTTTTGGTATCTGAAACCATCAGTAAAGTTGCATTGGCAAAAGAGGCAGCTGAGATATTTTCCTGGATGTTTATACTTAAAACTTCTTAAAGAAAGCATCCTAATCCATTTACTATTCAGTAACCTTGGAAAATGAGAATGGGGGCTCTTTATTTGTTTTTTAAGATTTTGAGATAAATTGGCAATTTCCCAATACTTTGGAACAGTCTTCAGCATGTCATTTCTGTGAAACAGTGTTGCTAATTTGCAGTTCTGTTACCACAGACAAAATAATAAAATGCTTAATTAGTGCCAGTTGATACAGTTTCATAGCAAGTAGGTTTTCTTGGACTGTAGATTTCTGAGAGAGCAGCAATTTAGTGAATTGATATAGCATAAATTAGATGATAATATTTGGCTCACTGACATRAACATTTATTTATATTTCTGTCTGCTGTTAAGGGAAAGGTTTACCTTTTAGGGAGATGCTGCAATTTTATCAACTATATAGTTGATCGTAAAATCCTTTGTAGAACTGGAAGTTGATAAAAATTTATAATTCAGGGCATTTAAAGCATTGAATTAACAAAAAGCAAAGRTTAGTAATAGAGATCTGAATTATCTCTTTAATTGGTTTCAATCCAGTCTACATTCAATCCAGGCAGGTATGGATTGTGCATATAAGTGAGAGATTTTAAAAGAMAAATCATGACAAAACACTCTAGGAAAGTTACACATCATAACCAGAGTAAATTCTTGGCACATTTCTGTACAAAAAAAACCATTGCTAACCTTTGGCTATGTGCAAAGGACAGTAGCAGCACTGAGGCAACGATGCAGTCTTGGGTTTGTATGGTTTTACAATGCTGTGTCCAGTTCTGTTGTTCATATTTCAGAAGAYTGGAGATTCTAGCTCAAAGTAAGCCATAAAAATTTTCCATGTTTTGGAAAATCAAGTTGGTCTGTGGTTCAAGTTGGGCATGTCGGCTCTTTATTGAATTAAATACTGAGAGGTGTTCTGAATAGCTGCTTACACATGGAAAAGGTATGTGGTGCTGGGGRATTTGTAGACCTTGTTGTCAGAGTCATAACTAGATCAAATTTCTAGTTGTTCAAGTGAAACAAGTAATATTCTGAAGTAAGCTACCCTCAAGACACTTCAGAGGCAGGATTATTTTTTTTTTTAGTGCTGTCATGAGGGATGTTCTTTGAGAGGAAGATTCAAACCTGGGGGTAGATGGGTCAGGTTTGGGGTTTTTCTGGCATTTGTTTTCCCTTCCTACTATTTTTTCTTCTTCTATGGGCCTTGGAGTGAACAAGAAAAGCCTTTGTTGTCTTTAATAAACTCATAATTGCCCAGAGTAATTGTGGATGCCCTGTTCATGGACATGTTCAAGGCCAGGCTTTAAATGACTTGMTCTAGTGGTGGCRGGGTGTTGGAACCAGATGAGCTTTAWGGTCCCTTCCAACCCAAACARTCTGTGATGACRCTTGCAGCTTGTTGTTAAAATGCTTGTAAGCAGCTCTCATGCTTCAGGGTTCCTGAAGGGTTCCTGTTGACCCGCAACAGTAATCAGAAAATGTTTAGCTTTGTTTTTTTTCTCTGATCTGCAAGAAGGATAAATATGGTTTGTGGATTTTTCTTACATTTTCTCTACCTGAAGTGCTTGTGATCAGCCACAGCTGGAGTTGAGGCTCTGATAGCTGGACAGATGCTATCAAATGCTACATAAATGCCTGACAGGCACTTCTTATTCTTATTTGGTTGTAAAGAACTCCACATTTGTTCAGGAAGGAAACTTAAAAAGGTAAAAATTGCTATTAATTTCTCCATTTCAGCTTTCTCTGTAAATTCTTTAATAAAACTCCTGGACCTCCTGAAACATCTCTCCCCTTTTTGTCTACTGGTCACAGATGTTGYTCCTTCCCAAAACCTTTAAATGTTACTCTCCCTGTATCAGCATTTTCCTCTACCTAGTTAAATTAAGATCTTACTTAATTGCTGCCATTGATGAATCATACCACAGATTTGCTTTTTGCTTTGTCATCCCACTTACTATTTAAAGTTKGTTGTGCACGATAAACAATTTGCCAACCAGCTTTGGGAAGGAGCCTTCTGGAGGAGACTGTGGTAAGGTATCCCATGGGAGAGTCAGGAATGGGGGCCTGCTGGAATGCAAGAGCTTATCCCTGYAACCTCTGTCTTTCCTGATGTCCTGTGTCTGAGGTGCTTCTTTTCTGCCTGTGATCACATCTACTTCCCATATTTCTAAATATTCAGCTTTTAGCAGTGCAGAAGACAGARGTATAAATAAATATATTTTTTCCTTGTGGGTAGAATAGTATTAAGAGTAATAATAGTAAAAATAATTGCAAATAATAATTTTCAACTCTGTAAGCTGCTGTTGAGTTATATATACCGATACTCTCCAGCCTTGGAAAAGACTTGCATTTTAAATAGATGAACTAATGGAATGCCTTTATGGTTCACTGTTGCATTCTCCACTGGACTTTCAGAATTCTCATAGAGATCAGTAAGCTAAAATAGGATTTCTGCAGAAAAAGTACTTCTGGACATGAAATCAAAAGAAATATGTGGTGCTAAACTGGGATTGGTTTTATGCTGTGCCTCTTGGTACTGTGAACCAGTATGGGAAACCCACAAATGCACGTTCCTGAGGTAGGCATAAGGCTGCACTCCATCAGAAAGGAGGCAATTRGCAGAAAACTGTGAAACAAAATACTCATCTTGGTATTTCTGATTGATGAATGTAAAGGCATGTAGAGGGTTAAAAGCTTCCAGTACTTTCTGTAGTCTGCCCTTGGAGAAAGTTCTCCTTATTTTCTTTTTTCCTATTTAGATCTTTCGTAGCAGACTGAAATGTTAGTCGAGTCAACTTGGGAGGAATGCAAAGAGTTGGGAGAGAAACAATAGCCTTACTTACAAGCAGAATTACAGGTCAGAGGGGAGAATTCTCAAATTGTAGGGTTCCTTGTCAGTACTAAATTCTTAATACTTCATATTATTTTGATTTCTACTGTAAAAAGGAATGTTGGCACTCAAACTGATGGTAACTTGTGTACACTGACCTGTAAACTTWTTGGCAATATTAAAATGTTTTAATGTTAATACATTTTAATATTTTAAATATTTGCTCTTTATTRTATATCAATTATACAGTTTAAAACAAATTAAGTGTTTGAGCTRCTGCAGTAAAATCTCTCACAAGGTCTGTGTTGTTGGATGGTTTTGTTGAAAGGTTTGTCTGTTTCTTTTTTTAATTTTCTTCTCACACTCAAAGATATGTCTGGCATTTTGGAGAGAATAAGCACAGCCTTTAACCTAGTGACAAAACGGTTGGGAGAACTGATTTACGTATCAGAAACCTTTTCTTCAGCTGTTCTTTAAACAAACGAAAATCTTTGCATAATCAGTGAAGCTTTTGRAACTTTGTTTTTACATAATTTATTAACACAAACTTCTATAATGTTTTCCTGTCCATAGATTAGTATCTATAGACTGTATTTTCCTTCTGGCCTCTGAAATGTTTATTGAAAAATTTTAGTTTGAGTGTATTAAGCTTTATTTGATTATGTACCACACATATTTCTGTTTATAATTCCTGGTGTCCAGTGAGGAGCAGTTTGTAATAATTTACTTAGGTGAACTCKAGTGGTACAGACTATAAAATATTTTTAAATCATTTCAAACTAACTTTTTTATGTTAGCTTGAAACCTTTGCTTGCCTTGTTCCTTGAAGATAAGTTTACACTTAATGATTTCTTAATTTCTTGGAGACCTACTGAATGTTTTTCTAGTGTCTGAAACAGGATTGAAATTGAAACAAAGGAAAGCAACAGCTTTTTCTTGAAGTGTGGAAATTTATTCATCCCAACAAATGGGAGGGAAAAGGAAAGAAAACAATATTTCCAGGTCTAAGGAAAAGCCCAGAGAAGTTTTTCCAATCCTATTTCAAAAAAAAAAAACCAAAAAAAAAACCACCAAAGATATTTTGAACATAATTTTTAGCTATTGGAGTGTATTGAAGTTCAGTAACTGCTAAAAGCATGAGGTCTCTCATATTGCAACTTACTGCTGCAACTACTTATTTCTGACTCCCCATACCTACTCAAAATGCAGATATTGAATTGGATATTATGTCTTCCCTAATCAGTWATATTTAAATCTTCCCTTTAAAGGCATCTTTT